TTTCGGATGTCTAGGGTTAAATCACGATTATTATGGGATCATTTCAAAATTGTCACAAAATTTATTTTCATTAAATGATTTATTATTTTTATCTAGTGACGCGAAATTGGTTAATTCGCTTTACAAGGGCTTTAATTATTTTTACAGTCAGTTCTTATTAGTAATTCCTCATTATGTTCTTATTTTAGCCGCGTACACAATCTGTCATTTAATAATTAGTCACTAGTTTCAATGGAACATTTATGGTGTAATAAGACGCAATCCTTTTTTAGTCAATAAGGAACTAATTTATTGTAATTCGTTATCAAAATAATAACTTATTAGGGGCTTGTAATCAGAATGTTGTTCTTATATTTAATATGTTATTATTTAAACAGCAACAAATATTGTAGGATTAGTTAAAATTAATCCTTTAACTATTAAAAGACTGTAATCAATAATTTACCATTGCAAAAATTTAGGTAGGTATATTGTATTAAAAGCACATTAACCTATAACTTACAAATCTAGCAGAGGGTAAACAAGACAATTGTGATTGTAAGGACAAGGAGACATTGGCTCTGAGCGCCCGGTCAAGGTATCCGGGCCAAAGGTCGATGACAGCGTCGACTTGTTCGCACGCTGTTCTTACCGCCAAAATAATTGAGTTAACTATTAAATTCAAATGCAATGTGAATACAAAAAAATAAACAATATTTATAGCCAAATCTAACCTGATGACATCGATTCATTTTCTGATTTCGGTGTTGTGGGAGGCATTGGTAAAGGCATCGTGGGGAGCGTCGGTGGTGCTGGATGTGGTTGCTGAGGTTGTAGCTGTTGCTGTTGCATATTGCATGCACCCAGCAGAGACTGGGCTGTATTATAAGTGATTCCGTCATCGTAGCTCCATAGCTCGAGGGCTCCATACTCGGGCGACGCCAAGGATTCCGGCGACATAACCATGGCCGGTGGCAAACCCAGTGCCGAAGACGATGTCACTTCTGAAGAGCTCTCTTCAAGCATTCGCAGCGGGAAGCCACCGTTATTAGACCAGCGGCGTCTCATGTCGAAGAGCGCGTCATACGCTCCAGCATCCGTGATTACCGAGGGACATCCTCCGACGTAGGCTTTCACTTCACTTTTTTCTCGCACTAAACTATCTAAACGCGTCTCTACAGACATACACCACTCGTCAGCGCGTCCGTTCAAAGCAAACGATACGTTATCCACGTTCTCGACTCTCATTCACTTATTAGTTTTGAAGCTTGATATTTGTGATGATGTTTTTCAGTCACAACACAACTCGTTCAACAGGTGAGAAAAGCACGCGAATTTCACGAGTTCCGCCGATGATGCAGAGACGGAGGTTACCGTGTACGTTTGAGCCGTAAAAACGGACGTACCGCACGCGCGACCGTCGTCAACGGAGTACATAGAGCGAGCGAACAAACGACGCGGCCGCTCTCACTACTCACTGCCACGGTCGACCGTGACGTCACGCCACCCCGCGCTCTCCTACTTCACCTCCCCGCCGGTCTGCACCCGCAACCGTGGCACAGAAAGTCAAGTCGCCGGCGACAGAATGTAGCGCGCCGATAAAACACCCTCAATTTATGAAGACTTGTTCTATCAAAACAACTTCGTAGTTAGTTACGTAATTTTTGAACTTGGGAAAGCAAATTGCCAATTTTATTAATCTTAATTGTGATAGTATGCGATCTTTGTAGACTTTTAGAGTTGAGGCACATCAAAAATAATATTAATTTTGTATTAAGTATTTTGTTTTAAACCGCTACGACTCTACGTGTTCACAAATCACTTTGAGCTCCTTTTTAGGCCGCATTCATATTGTCTGAGAGACGTGTTCACTTCTAAGGCTTGGTAGCGCGGATCCTCTTGTGATGGTATTCCATAACGAACGATCCTCTGTCTCTAGTGACATCTAGGATATCGGATCTAGATAATTTGAATGACTTTCTTTTGAGCAACGTAGTCCATCTGATCTTAAAACGAAACGCGGCTTGGATTTAATTCATAAAAACATTTGCTCGATGGATAATGATCATGCGACTTATCTCTATCGCCGGTATGACCTTTTAATCTGTTTTATTTGTCCCAATAATTATCATTTAATTGAAGTGAGCATTAGGAACTTTCTAACATACCAAAAATAGCCAGCGTTTTTCAAATATCTAGAAAACACGTTTTGGAAGTAACATAACCAAATAAAACAACATAATATCGTTAAATAGGTATAGAGTCATTCAAGATTTTTTTGGGAATAAAAAAGAATATTATTCCGGCCTAAAGAAGAAACAGGCTAATACTAAATGGTGATTTCTACTTTTCTACATAGATATGTAATTAAAACTAGTTTTCGTGTTCTCGGACGGAAAATGGCAAAGTTCTATATTCCCGACTGACAGCTGTTCCTTGCGTGCTCTTTTCAGAGCCATTTGAGGCAGCTTGCACGAATATCATTTTTAAATATCAGTTCTTTAAATATCCCGCCGCCCGCGTATCGACTAATGGGTACTGGGAATTATTCATAGACAACGTAAATGAAGACACTCGCTTTGAAACAGCAGGTTGAGGTAGCAATAGTATCGTTTACCAGCCGAACTTCGAACGTAGGACTGTTTAGCGGCATTTCTGGCAATAGGTAGATTAGTTGTATCTGCTTTATACGTCCTACCACAAATCTCATCACGTAGTCTACAATTTCGCTTCCTCAGTTGTTTTAATATGGATAATGGATAGTCGTTCGATGTGCTATGCGTATTGTTCTTACCATTTTCCTACAAGGGCCCGTTTCGTATATTCATGTCCCAACATAATAAATTAAAGTACCTCATCGCTTTACCGAATTCCAACATGGCACTCTCATTCATTGTAATCGTATTTAATTTTGCTGAAGAACTATTTATTGCAGCTGATAACGGAGCTATCAACGTAGTTCTAGAAGCTGCAAAAAGTGATGACATTTTACAGTCATTTTACATTCGTTGGCTGCAAGGTCACAGGATCGCAATGATTGTAATCTGTCTGATATTAATCAGCAAATACGGGTGTGCGACCTCAACCTCAACCTACTACTTCGTCTTCTATATCATTCCCTCACTGCTGAGGATCGCGACCACATGTGACGCTCCTCACCGCACCGGACCGCATGGTACAGACTACCACCAGTGCTTACTTTAATAGATCTGATTGTCTGGCTGGTATTCTGCCCACGGCGCGCTTGCCCTACTAGTGTTTCGTAATTATCTGTCACCTTATTTAAGTTCGTACGTTCTTCAAAAAGAAGAACAACCGATGTCCTCCTGAGACTTCAATTTTATGCCTCACAAGTCACCTACTGTATCCACGTGCTTTGAAACCGCATAACATTAAGTATAACATGCAATCCTAACTTACAAAATCAACTTACAAAATCCCCCAAAAACAGTTTGAAATAAATCTATGTTAACAGCTCAAATACGAAACTCGTCAATCACATTTGAATTCGTGAAGACCTTCAAAGCCTTCCAAAATTCATTTAGACAATAACAATTTCTATCTAATCTCGCGATACCTGTCTTTATCAACTCGCTTTCAATAACACTGCAAACCTAGACCTATTTTAGACGCCCTTAATAAAGAGATAAACACAACCTAGATTGAGTGTTTGGTTAGGTAGCTGGTAGGTAGACACGGTCGGCGCGTGACATATTGACACGAATCACTTATGTGTCCTCCAAAATACAGGCGAAATAGAACGATGACCTAAATAGGAGCATTCAAGATATCGGTCCGTTCGTTGGTAATGTTGAAGGTAATATAAGATTGTCTAAGTACATTATTGTTTCCAAAATGGTACCGAAAGTTCGTTTGGATTACATTGAGTTGTAGATGTAGATTTGGTAATCGTACCGTTGCTAGTTTTCGCGTGTGAACCGATGTATAACAAACAAATCCGTGAAGTGACGACGTGATCGTTATCTATTTTGTAGCCGAGTGATGGCAGCCCTGCCGTGGTTGCCTGTGAACATTGCTAAGCTCGCGTCACAGTATCACGTGTTCTCGCGGAGCGTTGACCTGCCAATGTTTTGGAAATACACAGCACAAAGCCACCTAACCAAATCCGTCATGCAATTAAAAAAAAAAACAACGATTTATCTGCACATAGTGTAGTGACATTTCTTAAACGCTCTGTTGGAAATAAATAATTTATTATTTCAGTTTAACACTCGTTTAACTGTGATATCGCGTAGGCGCACGTGATTTGTCTATTTCATCTAAATTTGCGAAATCTCTTCGAACAACCGCTTCGCATACCTAATAATTAAAAATTGTTGATATAATTTCGTGCATGAATTTATTTATATTAAATGCCGTCTTATTTTATCAGCTTGTAAGAAACAAACCGGTTTTTACATTTGTACATAATGTTTTTAATAGAAAAGTCGTGAATGAGTTCATCTCTTTTATGTAATATTATTGATTTTTATTAATAACTGTGACGTTAGTTTGATTTTTACAAATTGTATACTTGTTTTCGAAAATAAGTTGCAACGTTACGGCAACTGGCAAAGTTCGGAATATCACAATTCAACTAAAAAAAACAAATAGTTATAAAACACTGAAAAACTAAAAAAAAGAAAATGTATTATAAAAATTTGGGGTACTCTAAACAACAAATAAATATTAAATCTTCGGAGAATCTACAAGACAAAACATACAACGAAATTAACGTCAATACTTTTTTAACTGACTGTACCGGGCTAAGTGTTTGAACAGTCGTGATGTTGGCCAGTCGTGCGTGCAGTAAAATGCTCGATTGGTTCCTGTTCTGCCCCCCAACCCCCCGACCTCCCCCCGTGCCGTCCTCATTGCCGAATTACTTCCACTCAGAGATAAACCGCAATTCCTGATTCTTACTTCGCAAACGTATTAATTACTCTATTATTTAGGTACATTAAGTTAAAACTACACTATCTACCTTTATCTAACATAACAGGCATACATATTTTGCTTACCTATTTGATGAAGAACGGGAGAGCAGGCTTTAGAGGGACAAAATACAAAACATTACAATAAATGTGATAACAATTCAAATGTTTTAAAATAAATTCGTACTTCAACAAATGACAAGATTTTACAAGTAAATTGATAAAGTTTTCAAAAAACAGATCAAACTAGACAAAAACCTAAATTACATAACAACAAAAACCATTAACAGAGTGCTAAAACTTAAATGTAAGAGGTCTCGCGAAGTTTCATTCGTTACAGCCTTGTTTTCGCTATTCAGCCAGCAGTTGGCCTGTTCTAGCGAATTTTTTGCTCTGAAGTTTTCCATTAAATGTAAATTAGAGATGAAATTGATCGATCTATCGAGTGCTCCATTCAAGGTTAAACTATACAATAGGCAGCTCATTATTGACATCGCAATAGATTTTAATTCTAACTCAGAGCCATAGTCTTTTTTTCTAGAGCATTGTATTTATAAAGCTTGTAAACCTTTTTCCTTGTTTTAAAGCTGTCAAAACCTCGTACACTCAAGTCGATTAATCAATGAATCGAGATTCTGTTTTTTTTTGTTGATTGTCTTATTTATTCTGTTTTTGAACTCAACGAACTATACTTTAACTTAATTTTTGCAAACTTTATTGAATACTAAGATAGATACAAGTTAATCTTGTATATGCATGTATATAGATAATAAATTTATGTAGCGATGAATGATTAATATAGCAGAAACTTGGCAGTACGCCATAGAATCCTTTGTTGTGGTTTCTAGAAGAAAATGAAAATATGGAAGTATGCTTTTTTTCGCAAACTGTATTGTTTCTTGAAAGTATCACAATACCTCATAGAGAAGATAATGGAAGATTTCCATACCTGAAACAAAAACAATAACATTAGAATCGACCAACGTCTAAGCATTATTATGATAAGTTTGTAGAAATAAATTCGGTAATGGGGTACGTTCTCAGCAATGTGTTTAAATAGAGTGTTCCTATTTGACATAAATTTTAAAACAAGCATCCACAAGAATACTTTCGGAGTTATTGTACCACTCAAAACGGGCCGGGTAGGCGTCATTTTCATGTTTTTACTAGCGATGTGCAGGCGCATAAAAAGTGGACTCGGCGGAATGGTTCGAGTAAGCGCAATTAAGACCAAGGTCTCCAGGTTATCAAACCCGTGTCGGCGACTCGCGAAGTTGGCCGCGCCTCGCTGCTGTCGCAAAAAAATGTAGCGACTAATGAAGTCGATGGTATTAAAAGATAATGGCGGGCTATCACGCCGTACTGCATAACCTTAACTGGTCGCAAAGCTTCCATCTTTCGTTTCGCAATATTAAAATACTTCTGCGCCTAGACAACTAGTTTTTGATACATATGCAGCAAGCTCTTTCACATGTTAGTACGATTGTCTCGTAATGTACGCTTATATTTGATATTTTCGTTGTTTTAAATTACCTTTTCTTACAACTACAATGGTAATATTCAGAGTAAATGTACCGGACTTTCCAACTACGCATAGTGTGTCAGTGAATGGCTTCTGGCTGTGAGCCATGCAACTATTGGAGGAAGTCAAGGGTACGGTGCATCTATTGCATACTCAATGCTGAATCCTGTTCGTTGACACCGCACTCGACAGCAACCGATGTCGTTTGCACCACCGTGACCTGCTAAGGAACCATGTTACCGTTCCTCGTAGTCCCACGAACGCTTACATAATGCAATCTAGACAATGTTACTGATGTTACGTGAACCTCGCCTTTCGGTCGAGGACTTTGACTATACTTTCGCTTGTATCGTTCGTGTATGAGAACGACTTTCAAGAATTTGCAATCGTATGATGTACGAGCTTAGAATACTAAAAGGTGGAACACAAAACCCTACACTGATCCGCTGTAAAGCTCAATTCTAAAGGTGGGGATGCGTCTGCTTTTTTGTCAAATTTATAACCACGTTAAAACTAGAGATGTTACAAATCACTTTTTTGGTTTTTGAAAGACAACTTTGAAATAAAGAGGTGACAATAATTGTTGTTCAATTTCTCCTTTCCAATAGATTGTCTATGATGGTTAAATTTGAAATTTTTGTTTTCAGTTCTTTGTAGGAATTGTCTAAATGTGTAAATAAATCTCTTCTCGCTGCAAAAGCACAATGAAAATTATCAGCGATCTGACGGTTAATTGCGGGCATCAATTTGATCTTGTTGTGTTGTGTATGTTTATAATACAATTCATCACAATAAGGCATACGGTTTTAGACAATGAACGTGAAATTTCATCAACAAATAAAGGAAAAACCATCCGTTCTGATCCCTCTGAATGTCCAAACGGATATTAATCATGATTAAAGTCAACTGAATTTAGTAATTGGACTGGACGCTGTTTTATGAGCGTATTTACGAGCTTTCCGACGAGAACTGGTTATTTTTGTGATTTTTATAAAGTCATAATTTACAATATCTGTTCCGTGATTTACATGAAACGTATTTTGAATGTACAATAAAAAATAGATCTATAAACGTTGAGGCAAAGGCAGCTTATGCCCATTCATTTCATTTAAGATGAGACATGAATAATTCAATAAGTTCCAATTTTTTCACCTTCGTATTATGTGGCGTTTATTCAGTAATATTCTATGAGCTCTAAATACGTCGATCTACAAGGAGCTTAGGCTTTCTGAGACGCTGTCGTTGGGCATCGACAAAAAGAAAACTTTATTACAAATATTTATAAACGTAAAACGTGACACGATCCAACAGCGGTCTATAATGGAATCAAACTGCAATTAGGTCATAGAAGCAATGCACTATCCACTCACAACCGTTGTATGCGCGTGCACCGAGTTTCGATGGAATAGTTGTATGCATAACTTATTACCCTGGCATTCGTGCTGCTAATATTAGGCATGATTATATAACAACCGAATACTGTTATGCAGTACTACTGTTAGGATGTTTCGATTATAAATACCGGTATTAGGGCACGTTGCAAAAGTTAGATACAATGATCCTATCACTTTATGCCTCAAAGCGCTTTGGACGAGTGTACAGCCATTGAAACTTCAAAAATACATCTTGAGATTTTTTTTATTGCCTAGTTGTGTGGACGAGCTCACAGCCCACCTGGTGTTAAGTGGATACTGGAACCCATAGAAATCTACAACATAAATGCGCCAACCACCTTGAAATATAAGTTCTAAGGTCTCAGTATACTTACAACGGCTGCCCCACCCTTCAAGCCGAAACGCATTACTGCTTCACGGCAGAAAATAGGCGGGGCGGTGGTACCTACCCGTGCGGACTCACAAGAGGTCCTACCACCAGTAAATTCCAGATTCAGTGATATCTAAGTTTTGGTGCCTATTCACGCTACGATTTTTGACCGGCAGCCACATTTGTTTAGTTAACCTTATAAAAATAAGCATGGTATTATCGTCCCAGTCAAACCAAAAGTGTATTTAGATTTAAATATGGAGAATAGCAATTTTTCGAATACATTCTATGCATTATAATCGTAGAGGTTCGTATTTTTTTTAATGTTTCTCATGATGTTCAGGTCTGTCTTTTTATTTATTTTTTATATTTTCCTATATGTCACACATATTCACTTGAGATAGTCTGTCATAATTATATCCTACATTACAGTGGTGAAGGGTCGATATTTATAGAATGACCCCGAAGCAAAAATGACTTGAAAAGCGTATCGCGTGTGTAATTCACGTAGGCTTTTTGGCTTAAAGAGCTTTATAGACAATTATGACTTTATCAGAACCATACCAACGCTTGAATACTGATATAGACAGTGCCTTCCAACTACAGTTGACATTTTAAAGGGAAATCAGTAGCCTTCGGTATTACATTCTGATAATCGACATTTCATCTGTAAATCCAGTGTCTCTCTAAGCCAATTAAAAATGAAGACACGAGGACTCATGTCTGATGGTAGCAAAACTAGCAGTTAGCTCATCTGACTTTATTCTATCTTTTATCTTGAAGTCAAAACAGAATCAGTTGTTTCAAGGTAACTTAAGTTAGGAAAGTTTATGGCACTCAAAATTTGTGGAGTACAACCTTCCACAATCGTATGCCTTATGAAGGTATTTAGGTAGGTAAATGTGACGAGGGATACTGTGGATGAATGAAAGGAATTTCATTTTTATACAATAAACATTGTTACAAATACTCAATGTTATTAAATGGGTATAATTATCAGAATCAACAATCTTTCACGCACACGCCGTAACGCTGATTTTTAAAATGTTTTCTTTTATTTTACAGAAATAGCCAATTGAAACAGCTATTTATTTCGTTGACATGAGCCGTGTCGTCTCGCCGTGAGGAAACGTTGACTCCTGGCGACGGGGTTATTTGCCAAAACGCACTGTTTGCTGAGATATAATAGGAACGGATTGACAGCCTCCATCCTCTTCGGCGTCGGTGCCAAATTTGCAATTAACGAAAAAAAAACCTCGACTTATTTTAAACAATGTAATGGCATGTGTGAAAATTTGCAAGCTACGTGTTAATTACATTGAGATCATAGTTATTATTTAGGTCGACCATTCTGGCCACAGATGGAACGCAAATGTTGAAAATGAAGAACCATTATTATCTAACAAGTCTGTACTTGTACGAGATGTACTCCATATAATCCTAATCTCGAGTCCGTAAATCAACTTCCGCTGTAATTTTACAAGGCAGGGTTTAATTTGCTAAGGTAAAATAATTGCACGTCGCGAGCCCGACAGAACGGACTACCGCAAATAGCATTGGTAGCAGTACAAATTGAAGGTAATTACATCTAATTGTGAGTCACGGTCATGGCCAATAAGCACCAATAAGCAATAACATGAGAAGGTAGATTGAAGGTCTGGGTGTACCTTCGAACAAAGGATCAATTTTATTTACTTTATGATAAAGTTGCAGTTACGAATATCGACCATGTAACATTGACAATTAATGTCGTAATGGCTCATCATTACGGTGCGCATCTCGACATTGTTCTCAACGAGCAGACATGTCGTATATTTCATTCACTCGA